AAGGGCCCCCATCACTACCTGGTCAGTTGAGTGAGTTTTTAACCCTTTGAGGGTCGAGAGGCCATCTCCCAAACTTGTTCTCAGGGTCGAAAAATTTTTGAAAAAAATAAATTATTTTTTCTTATGAAATGATAGAGAATCTTTTTCCGACTATAATGACACCAAAAGTATGAAATTTAACCCTTTCAGGGTCAGCAGGCCCTCTCAGAGACTTGTTCTCAGGGTCGCCCAAATTTCAAAAACAAAAAAAAACAAAATTTTTTCTTATGAAAAGATAGAGAATCTTTTCCCAATCATAATGACACCAAAAGTATGAAATTTGATGGAAAACTTACGGAATTATGCTCTCGCAAAGTTAGCAGTCTTGAGGATGTTTACGCATCGGCGATTTTGCCCACTTTGAGCCCTATTTTCAGCCAATTCCAGTGTACTTGTCGACAAAAATCATAACTATTTCGCTAGAACTCCATTTTTTCTATCGAATGAGTACAAGAAACCATCCATTTACCGATTTCAACTATCCAATACAGTGGTCAGAATTTAGCAATTTTGCCAATTTCACACAAATTTCAAAAGATGCCAATTTCCGAATAGGGTCCAGAATAAACAAGAAAGACATTTCTGGCAGTAAAATAAAATTTCCTCTGTTCATTAGTCACGTCCACACGCCCCTCTTACATTCTTTTGCTTTCCACTTTGAATTTTTATTCTCACAAAAAAATAGAAGATTTCCTGTTATGCAGACTACTGCATTAGTGTAGAAATGGTATAAGTAATATCAGCACATTTGTGAAAGAATATTAGACTCACCAGTTGACGTGTATTGGACGCATAGCATGATTTGTTTACTTTTGAACTTTGGTAAAAATCGAACATTTCTGCTACTTTGAGCTCAATTTCAAGGTACTTTTCTTCGTAAAACCAGTCAAAATCATCTCAATTTCTGTAAAATGTCTTCCATTCTATAAAATGAGACCAGGAAAGCTAGAATACAACAATAAATACCATACGAAAATACAGTGCAAAGTCGCTGTTTTAATCCAAAAACACGGTCAAAGTTTTTTTTTTCTCATTACGCACTGTGTGCTGCAGGATTTCTTTTATACCGCGCACACTGACCACATAGACCCATTCTTTCATATGTAGGCCTACCAGCTTTCTCTCACTAGATTTGAGGGCGCTAGAATTTAGGCGTACTAGTACGTCAAAAACCCTGGTGCGTAAGCCGTACTAGTAGGGCCGAAACCCTCAAAGGGTTAAATAAAAACTTAGGGAATTATGCTCTCATGATGTTAGCAGTCTCAAAGTGGGCGATTTTGCCCACTTTGTGCCCTATTTTCAGCCAATTCCAATGTTGCAGTTGACCAAAATCATAGTTATTTCCCTAGAACTCCATTTGTTCTATCGAATGAGTACAAGAATCCACCCATTTACTGATTTCATATACCCAATAAAGTGGTCAGAAATTGGCAATTTGGGCAATCTCACACAAATTTCAAAAGATGCCAATTTCAAAATAGCGTCCAGAATAAACAAGACAGACATTCATGGCAATAAAATAACATTTCCTCTGTTCATTAGTCACATCTCTAGGCCCCTCTTACATTACTTTTGCTCTCCATTTTGAATTTTTATTCTCAAAGAAAATAGGTTTTCTGTTATGTATACTACTGCATCATTGTAAAAATGGTATAAATGATATCAGCACACTTGTGAAAGAATATTAGACTCACCAGTTGATGTGTATTGGACGTGTGGCTTGATTTGTTTACTCTTGAACATCGGCAAAAACCGATGATTTTCGCTACTTTGAGCTCAATTTCAAGGTACTTGTCATCGTGAAACCAATCAAAATCATCTCTATTTCCATTCTATCAAATGAGACCAAGGAAATTAGAATACAACCATAAATACCATACGAAAATACACTAGAAAGTTGCTGTTTTAAACCAAAAACACAGTCGGAGTTTTTTTTTTTCTCATTATGCACAGTGTGCTTCAGGATTTTTTTTATACTGCGCACACTGACCACAGTGACCCATTCTTTCATATGTATGCCTGCCAGCTTTCTTCCACCAGATTCGAAGGCACTAGAATTTAGGCGTACAAGTACGTGACCGACCCTGGCTGCAATGACGTACTTGTACGTGACCTACCCTCAAAGGGTTAAATGCGCTGGTTCAGTTAATGAGCTGCCATAAACCATGACCAATCATTCTTGGTTATGAATTCAAAATAGAAGGCAAGTGTACTATAGGAGAGGCCTGGAGAAATGATTAATGAACAAAGTTGTTGTTTTAGTGCCAGGAATGTCTACATTGCTTATTTTGTACTCTATTTTTAAATTGGTATTTTTTTTATTTTTGTGTAAAATTGGCCAAATTACCGAATTCTGTGCACTTCATAGGGTAGTTGTAGTTGAATGGGTAGTTTCTTGTGCTAGGAATTTTGTCAAGTGGAGCAATGGAACTGACTTATAATAGGACTCAAAGTGGGCAAAACTGCTGATGCTTAAATTGCACCCGGACCGCTAACTTTGTGCCCGTGAATTCCGTAAGTTATTCATTAAATTTCGTACTTTTGGTATTATTACCTTCAGAAAAAGATTCTGTACCATTTCAAAAGTATTTCTTTTTTAAAAAGTGGACACTGAAAGCAATATTAATGTTAGGGGTATGGACAGTGACAGGGTTAACAAGGTATTAATATGAACTATATTTAACAAGAGATCTGTGTGCTGTTGAAAGAAAGAGTCCTGGAAATGGGAAGTACAATGCCTGCACTTTAAAGGAGGGGTTTGGGATATTGGCAGTTTGGAGGGATATGTTGTGTATCTCTATACGTATATGCTTCTAAACTGTTGTATTCTGAGCACCTCTGCAAAAGCAGTGATAATGTGTGAGTGTGGTGAAAGTGTTGAATGATGATGAAAGTATTTTCTTTTTGGGGATTTTCTTTCTTTTTTTGGGTCACCCTGCCTCGGTGGGAGACGGCCGACTTGTTGAAAAAAAAAAAAAAAAATGAATGTGAGCTATTCAGTAGGGCCCCGCTTTACGGCGTTCCGCTAATATGGCGATTTCAAATTATGACCAAAACTTTCTATACGGCGAGCTGCCCTTCCTGGCTACCCATACTTCCCAACCAGACTTTATACAAATAAAACTCACCTCTCACCCTACATTAAGACTACAAATATTTTAAGGAAATTAATGAGTGTACTATATATACATTTTATTGCTCAAGGGAGCTTAATGTTGTTGTAGGTGGGAGTGGCCAGGCAGGATGCCATACCTCCCACTCAACTTTCTACAAATAAATAATTTTCACCTCTCGCCCCACAGTAAGGCCATTAAGACTACAAATTTTTAAGGTAAGTAATGAGTGTACTATATGCATTTTATCGCTCTTGGAAGCTTTAACCATTTGACTGTTTCAGTTGTATATATACGTCTTACGAGCCACCGTGTTTGACATATATATACTCAAAAATTCTAGCGGCTTCAAATCAAGCAGGAGAAAGCTGGTAGGCCCACATGTGAGAGAATGGGTCAGTGTGTACCATATAAAAAAATCCTGCAGCACGCAGTGCATAATCAGAAAAAAAAACTCCAATTGTGTTTTTGGATTAAAACACCGACTTTGTGGTGTATTTTCGTATAGTATTTATGGCTGTATTCTCGTTTTCTTGGTCTCATTTGACAGAATGGAAAACATATTACAGAAATAGAGGTGATTTTGATTGGTTTTACTATGAAAAGAACCTTGAAATGGAGCTCAAAATAGGGGAAATGTTTGATTTTTGACGATGTTCAAAAGTAAACAAATGATGTCATTGTCCAATAAATGTCCAACTAGCCATTCTAATATGCAGTCATAAATGGGTTGACATTATTTATACAATTATTACAATATTGCAGTAGTCTGCATAACAGTAAATCTTCTATTTTTTGTTTGAATAAAAATTCCAAACAGAAAGCAAGAGTAATATCAGAGAGGCCTGGAGACATGACTGATGGACAAAGAAACTTATTTTATAGCCAGGAATGTCTGCATTGTTCATTCTGGACCCTATTTTGAAATTGGCATATTTTTTAATTTGCGTCAAATTGGCCAAATTGCAAATTTCTGACCACGTTATTGGGTAGTTGAAATCGGTAAATGGACAGTTTCTTGTACTCAATCGATAGAACAAATGGAGTTCTAAAGAAATAGCTACGAGTTTGGTTGACTGGAAAAACGTAATTAGCCGAAAATAGGGCTCAAAGTAGGCGAAATAGCCGATTCGTAAATATCGCGAAAGTCACTAACTTCGCGAGAGTGCAGTTCTGTAAGTTTTCCATCAAATTTCGTTCTTTTGGTGTCATTACCATTGGGAAAAGATTCTCTATAATTTCAATTTTTTTTTTTTTTTTGACACCAGGAGACACCTCAGGTTTTGGGGTTGCGACAGCCAAACAGTTAAGCATCGTGGTATAGTATGTGTGGGTAGGGTGGCCAGCAGGGCTATCACACCTGACTTCTTACAATAAATACTACTCACCTTTTGCCCTACATTAAGACTACAAATGTATTTTGAGGTAAATAATGAGTGTACTGTGTGTGTATTTTACTTTTTAATGCCTAGTTCTATTGCTAACTTAATATATGTTAGTGTAAACTTGTTATCTGGCATTTATATGCATTTATAAATGGAAAAAATGGAGTTCTGCTTTCCAGCGAAGTCTGCTTTCCGGAAGTAGCCTGGAACCTAACCTGCTGTATAATTGGGGCCCTACCGTATTTAAAAAGATATCAATGCAAACCATATTGCAAAAGATATCAATGTGAACTATTCTTAATAAGATAACACTGTGAACAAGGTAACACTGAACTATCATTAACAAAGTAACAATGAATTATCACTAATAGGGTAATACTGAACTATCATTAGCAAGGCAACACTGAACTATCATTAACAACACTGAACAATCATGGTTCAATAAGGCACACTATAATCTTACCTGTCCCTGTTGATCAAAGAACTTATCAACAATGACCTTGGTCTGATCAAAGAGGATAGGATAGAGTAGAGGTGACATCTCATGCCCCACCAACTCCTTCACATGTTTTTGAATCTGTGTCCCAAACCTTTCATTGTTACATACCAGAAGTTTCAGGAGATGGCCAACAAATCTATGAAGAAAAGGAAAAATATAAATGATTATCCATAAAAGACAAAAAATATGGTTGACCAATAAGTAATTTGTGTAATAACGCTGCAAATAAACATTTTTTTTTTTTTTTCAACAAGTCGGCCATCTCCCACCGAGGCAGGGTGACCCAAAAAAGAAAGAAAATCCCCAAAAAGAAAATACTTTCATCATCATTCAACACTTTCACCACACTCGCACATTATCACTGTTTTTGCAGAGGTGCTCAGAATACAACAGTCTAGAAGCATACACATATAAAGATACACAACATATCCCTCCAAACTGCCAATAAACATACCTAATTGAAATTTAAGAGAATATCACAGCATGCTGGACATACTGTTAGCCTGCAGTTAATTTTTTTTAATACATCAGCTCTCTCTCTCTCTCTCTTTTATCTCTCTCTCTCTTTCCCTCTCTCTTCTCTCTCTCTCTCTTTTCTCTCTTTTTCTCTCTTTCTCTCTTTTTTACTCTTTTTTTTTTACACAGGATTTGGCAAGGTTAGGTTAGGATCCCTAGCTTTATTGACAATCTATTTACAGGTTAAGGATTCCTAACTTTATTGACAAGCTAAGAGCTGTTACCTACATCACCTCATTTGAAAGCATTTTTATTGTTATAAGACATACAAGTAGGGAATAGGATGAAGTTGGAGCCATCTGTGGGCCAGCATTTTCATGTGATCAACTGACTTTATCTCGTTGATATCATAATGTTGTACGAATGTGTTCCATACTCAAGTCATCCTGGGTATAAGTGACCTCAGATGAAGTGAAGTTCTGGAGAAGGGTATAGCCAGAATGAAGTTGCTGCTTTCTGCCCGTCTTGTGGTATAGAAGCTTGTTTCACGCTGTCCTCAAAGTGGATCCAAGTGTGGTATTTTGACAATAATGGCCTTGTACATAACAGTAAGGCCACCCACATCCATCCTGTGTTGAAGGCTCTGCTGAAATGACAGATCTATCCAGGATTGGTCCAGGCGAGAGATGAGACGTCTTGCTCTGCTCTCTACTCTGCCAAGCAATCGCAGATGAGAGGGGGCAGGCAAACCAAGAAAGTGGAGCATACTCAAGGTGTGAGAATACCTGTGCCTCGTACAGAGTCTTGCAACCCCTACTGTCAAGCAGATGTGAGATACGGCGAAGTGCTGTAAGCTTCCTGGCTGCCTTGTTTGCAAGATTTATGTGGTTCTTCGTGGTCAGTTTGGAGTCAAATTTCACCCCAAGGATATCAACTTCTTCCCCAGGTGCCAACACCCTCCCACTCATACCATCATTACCATCATGGTGCCAAGAGACCATCATCATTTGTGTTTTCTCAGGTGCAAATGTTACTTGCCATCTATTTCCCCAAGCTGATGTAGCTCACAGCTGGTGATTGATTTAGCTTAGAGCAGCTGGCATTTCTTCTCTTGGATAACTGAATGTCAGTGTACAGTTGTCTGCATATCCATGGGATTCTGGGATGAGATGAAGAAGGTCATTGAAGTAGACATTCCATAACAACGGTCCAAGTACACTTCCTTGTGGAACACTTGCCCCAATAGGATGTCTTGCTGATTCTGTTCCATTGAGAACTACCCATGAAGATCTACCATGAAGGTAGTCACTGAGGAGAGACAGCATAGAGCCTGCAATTCCCAGACCTTGCAGTTTTGGTAAGAGACCCAGGTGCCACACCTAGTCGAAAGTACCAGCAACGTCCAGTGCTACCACTCAGCTGACTGGATTCATCCAGTGACTGGTGCCACTTAGTGGAGAGGATTAACAAGAGGTTAGCAGCAGAGTAACCTTTCCTGAAGTCATATTGATGGTCACAAAGTAGTGAGTGGTAGTCAAAAAACTCTCATTTGTCTTGAGATTGTCTCAAGGATCTTGCTAGTAACTGACAGCAGAAACACTGGTCTGTAGTTGCTGATTTCTGCTCTGCTTTTCTTTCTGTGAACAGGGACTACATTTGCCTCTTTCCACAGAGAAGGCCATTTACACTGTACCAGGCAGTGCTGAAAGATGCAAGTTAGAGGTGCTGCTAGCTGGTCTGCATATCTTCTCAGCAATCTTGGGCTCAACTTGTCTGGGCTCACAGCCTTTTCTTGGTCAAGTGATTTAAGAAGGAAATGCACCTCCTCCTGCCTTATTGTTACCTGGAGAGAGTTCCGGGGGTCAATGCCCCCAGCGGCCCGGTCTGTGACCAGGCCTCATGGTGGATCAGAGCCTGATCAACCAGGCTGTTACTGCTGGCTGCACGCAATCCAACGTACGAGCCACAGCCTGGCTGGTCAGGTATTGACTTTAGGTGCTCATCCAGTGCCTGCTTGAAGACAGCCAGGGGTTTATTGGTAATCCCCCTTATGTATGCTGGGAGGCAGTTGAACAGTCTTGGGCCCCTGACACTTATTGTGTTGTCTCTTAACCCTTTCAGGGTTTTGGCCGTACTAGTACGGCTTACGCAGCAGGGTTTTTGACGTACTATTACACGTAAATTCTAGTGCCTTCAAATCTCGCAAGAAAAGTCTAGTAGGCCTAGATGTGAGAGAATGGGTCTGTGTGGTGGGTGTGCGCAGTAGAAAAAAAATCTGGGACCCAGTGGCACATTGTGGGAACGCCATATTAGTACACCTTGTCCACCATGCCTCACGGTAAGAAGCTCCTCACTCCTCAGCGAATTGGGACACTTCTGTTCCCCAGTGACAGTTCTAACACAGATGGAAGTGCCAGTGAAGATGAGTTTCAAGCTTTTGGTGAGGTTTTGATTGAAACTAATGACCATAATATCAGTAATAGTGAGGAAAACCCAGACGACCCTCAGCCTTCCACCTCTGGTGCTGGGCCGTCTTGTTCACGTTCAGTTGTACCAGAATCGAAGAGGAAACTCCTAATTTCCCAAATCCCAGACTCAGATGTGAGCATTTGTGATGATAGTGATAGTGATTATGAACTACAAGCTCTTGAAACTAGTTCCAGTAGTGATAGTGAAGTGCAATATTCCCCAGTGAACCGTCAGTATATACGACAATACATGCGCTCTGGTAGTGTGCCATATGCTATTCCAAGGGGAAGGAGTACATCTCGGAGTACATCCCGTGGCTGTACAACAGGAATTGAGAGTGAAAATGATGATGATACTGTTGCAATTGGGATGGAAAATGTGCATGGTGGTGGTAGTGGTGGTGCCAGTCGTGAGGCACCAGCAGTGGCCCATGCTGCCACCCACACCGCTGCCTCAGCTGATCTACAACAAAGGCCACCATCCCCCACCCACCCACAACCACAACCTCCACAACCACAACCACCTGTCACTGTTCAGTACCCACCAGCAGACCGCACCTGGGATTAGCAGGAAGCTGTCAATTTTGTTCCAAATCCCCATCAGTTTGATGACAGCCAAAGTGGAATACGGCCATGTTGTACACTAGGAAACAATGCTACTGAACTGGAATGTTTCCAGTTATTCTTTGACGAACCCCTGATGGAAAGTATTGTCATGGAAAGCAACACATACTATGAGTATACTATGGCAAACACAATACTTTCACCAAAATCACATCTACACCAGTGGAAGGAGGCAACTGTGGCTGAGATGTATCTTTTCTTTGCCACAATAATGCTTATGCCACATGTGTATAAGCACAGTGTGAAATCATACTGGTCGACAGACCGCCTGATTGCAACCCCAGGCTTCAGTGATATAATGCCAGTGAATCGATTTGGGCTAATGTTACGTATGCTTCACTTCTCAGACAAAACCAGGCCTGACAGAAATGACAGGTTATATAAGATTAGGCATGTGTTTGGGTATCTGAAAGAGAAATTCAATATGTATTTTTATCCCTTCAGGAAGCTTGTAATTGATGAGTCTTTGATTCTGTTCAAAGGAAGACTCTCTTTCAAGCAGTACATACCAAGCAAGAGGAAACTCTTTGGTATAAAGTTGTTTGTGCTTTGTGATTGTTACAGTGGTCTGGTACTAGATATTATTGTGTACACTGGATGTTATACATTGCAAAATACCAGGAAGTTATTGGGCATCTCTGGTGATGTGGTTAGAACAATGAAAGAACCATACCTTGGTAAGGGGCATATATTATATACAGATAACTGGTACACAAGCCCCACACTCAGTGATTTTTTGCAAGTGAACATGACAGATGTGCGTGTGTGGCACAGCGCGTGCAAATCGGAAACATATGCCCAGGTTTGACGCTAGCACTCGTAGAGGTGAGGTGCAGGCGTTTGCTGCCAATGACATCATGGCATTTCGGTGGCATGACAAACAAGATGTCACACTGTTGTCATCAGTTCACCCTAATGAAATGGCAGACACTGGCAGGCACCATAGAGACAGCATTGAACCCATTCTAAAACCTGCAGCTGTGATGGACTACACCCTCAATATGCATTCAGTGGACAAATGTGACATGCAGATTGGGTTTGCTGATTGTGTTCGCAAGAGTTATAAGTGGTACATAAAACTCTTTTTCCATCTTCTGGACATATCCATGCTGAATGCTTATAATATGTATAAGATGAGGACCAGAAACAAACCACCATACGGCGAATTCTGTTTGTCTGTCATCAAACAAATAGTATTCAAGTACCAAGGAACAACACTGCAATAGACCGCCCACAAAATTATCAACAACTACCTTCTCGTCTGAAGCATGGTGATCACTTCCTAATATAACTGCCTGCTACTGATTTCAAGAAAAAGGCTCAGAAGAGGTGTTACGTCTGTGCACATACAAGGAAACGCCCACAACAACGCAGAGACACTCATTTTATGTGTGAGGAATGTAAAACACACTGTGCATGACACCATGTTTCAAAGACTTCCACAGACTGCAGAACTTCTAGAAACAATCCCTGTGACTGTATATGTGTATGTACATAAAATATAGAAAAATAGTAATAAACAACATTTCATATCGTTTGTTTGTGTAAATATTTTTTGTAAACAAAACAATGACAACAGTGTTTACGC